ACAAAAAACAAAAAAAAAAACAAATAAAAAAAAAAAATAAAAAAAAAAAAAAATTTAATTAAAAAAAAAAAAATAATATAAATAAAAATAAAAATGTACAATATTAACATTAATAAAACTTACACTCAAGGTACATTTAAAATACAATATCAAACACAAATAAAAAAAAAAGAAAAACATAACAATGAAAACATTAAGTTGTGCCTGACATGGTATATAATATCTGTTGAGTATGTTTTTAGATTTTTATTGTAAAGTAATGTTTGGTACACCAAAATCTAAAAAACGATATTTCACATTGGGAGGTCGCAATACAAGATATGTAATTTAGTCACTATAAAAACCCAGCAGAGCACTGTGAAATTAATTTGAACTGCACAGAAATACATTGTGCTCTAAAACAAGTGTTATTGTATGTTGGGGATGATAATACAACCACTAATGCAATGAAAATAGCAGGTGAGGAGAAAACAAAGAAGAAAAAATTATATAAGCCTGTGAGTGGAACTGGAACGAATGAGTGCTCAAAATACACCTTAAAGTGATACTAAAAAGTCCACATTTGAAAAAAAAAACAAAACAAACATATCATACCTGCTTCTGTGCATTTGCTTTTGCACAGAGCAGCCCTGATACCCTCTTCTCAGGTCCCATGCCTGTGCTCGCTCCTGAGCTGCCTCTCAGTATTTCCCCATAAGACACACAGAGTGGTGCTTGGCCCTATCCCCTGCTCCCTCTTCACTGGCTGTGATAAATCCAGCAGCAAAGCCAAAGGCTCCCACTATTGTGTCTCAGCCAATGAGGAGGAGAGAATTCAGTTCACATCGTTGGGATCGAAAGTGGGGACTCAGGTAATATCTGGGGCTGGCTGAGGGGGTAGCTTGCACACAATAAGGTTTTTTACCTTTATGCATAGAAAAAAGCCTTAAGCCTTTACAACTACTTTAAATAAAATGGGGAGGTAGAGGTGCTATCATAGCCCAGCAGGAAATAACATGCAGGGCTGACAACAACCAGAAAATCAGGATTTCAGCACAGCAGAGGCAGTGGTGTCAACCCAGAAGAGGAATTTGGGGAGATAACTGCATTTTGGCAGACCATAAGATATTTTTCTGTACTTGCAGACAAATAAGCAAAAGCACATACACTTAAATCAGTAGGGGTTGCTGCAACATAGGAAAAATCTCTTCCTAAAATATTAATTTAAAAAACATAATTTGTGCTGTCTATACAGCGGCAGAGAGATAATCCAACAACTCTCCCCAGGCAAAGTGTAAAAGATATGTGTTTGCATGGTTGCCAAATTTTTTATATTGTTCCAATGTGCCAGTGACAGCAATCAAACGGTAATCATATGCATGCATAAATTAACCCTCAGACAATCAACCATCATATTTGTATTTCTAGTAGGTATCTGATAACGCCAAATATTAGGGTGGCTATATATAGGATTGCCCACTGAGTATCATAATGGTATTTATTGTATAACAGGACAGTTTAACTAGAATGTATGCAGTGATCATATTAATTTTTTTCTTGGTCATCATTTTTAAATACAATTGTTTTAACCACAATGGAAACCAGCCGAGTGAAATATGTTTCACCTTTATTTAGAGAGCTGGCAAATGAATGCTATTGCTACAGTTATATATTTAGTTTAAAAATATATATATTTCAGGGGCAAACTGACAACTTATGGAGCCCCCGGGCAATAGGGGATCATGGGGCCCTGTGTCCTTGCCCAAACTCAAAAAAGCCTATGAAAAAGGTACCAGGGGCATCTCATGGGGCCCCCTACTGACCCCGAGCCCTCGTTCCAGTGCCCGAGTTTCCAAATGGTCAGTCCGCCCCTGATATAGATAGATAAACACTATAATGCCAAAAGTATTGGGACACCCCTCCAAATCATTGGATTCAGGTGTTCCAATCACCTTCATGGCCACAGGTGTATAAAATCAAGCACCTAGGCATGCAGACTGCTTCTACAAACATTTGTGAAAGAATGGGTCGTTCTCAGGAGCTCAGTGAATTCAAGCGTGGTACTGTAATAGGTTGCCACCTGCCCAATAAGTCCATCCATGAAATTTCCTTGTTACTAAATATTCCACAGTCAACTGTTAGTGGTATTATAATAAAGTGAAAGCAACTGGGAACAACAGCAAGTTAGCCATGAAGTGGTAGACTGCATAAAATGACAGAGCGGGGTCAGATCATGCTGAAGCTCACAGTGTGTCACCAACTGTCTGCAGAGTCAATAGCTAAAGACCTCCAAACTTCATGTGGCCTTCAGATTAGCACAACAACACAACAACAGTGCATAGAGAGCTTCATGGAATGGGTTTCCATGGCCGAGCAGCTTCATCCAAGCCTTACATCACCAAGTGCAATGCAAAGCATTGGATGCAGAGGTGTAAAGCATGCAGCCACTGGACTCTAGAGCAGCAGAGATGTGTTTCCTAGAGTGACGAATCACGCTTCTCTGTCTGGCAATCCAAAGGACGTGTCTGGGTTTGTCAGTTGCCAGGAGAACAGTACTTGCCTGACTGCATGTGCCACGTGTAAAGTTTGGTGGAGGGGGAGAATATGGTGTGGGGTTGTTTTTCAGGGGTTGGGCTCGGCCTCTCGGCTCTTAAAGGCCTCAGCATACCAAGACATTTCAGACAATTTCATGCTCCCAAGTTTGTGAGAACAGTTTGAGGATGGACCCTTCCTGTTCCAACATGACTGCGCACCAGTGCACAAAGCAAGGTCCATAAAGACATGGATGAGCAAGTTTGGGATGGAGGAACTTGACTGCCGTGCTCAGAGTCCTGACCTCAATTCGGTAGAACACCTTTGAGATGAATTAGAGCAGAAACTGTGGGCCAGGCCTTTCCGTACTTCATCAGTGCCTGACCTCACAAATGCACTTCTGGAAGAATGGTCAACATTCCCATGGACACACTGCTAAACCTTGTTGACAGCCTTCCCAGAAAAGTTTTATATCTATATATATATATATATATAATATATATAATATATATATATATATATATATATATATATATACACGCAGTATAAAGATCTTTTCATGAACATCAGAACATATAATAGTATGCTAGTATAGTATTAGTATGAATAGATTCTTTACATTGAGATACCTTGTAAGACAGTAGTAATAGTTCTTTAAAAACTTACACTAGTACTAATATAATGATTAATCATTTCTACTTACATGTCATCGGGGCAGTTATCAGGAGAGTCCATTCTTCTTCCAGAGCGCACATAATGTAAAACCTCCATGTTTGAATAACCCTGATAAGGCTGCTGACCCAATGTAAAGAGCTCCCACAAGAGAACCCCAAAAGACCTAAAAATAGAAACATAAAAAATGGCATATCATCAGCTGGGAGAAACAGTTTTTATAGTACATTAAACATTTTCAAAAATACTTTTGTTAAATTCTTTACCGTGCCCAGTATATTACTGTAAACCTGCTCTGAAATAGGGCAATGATAGCTTAATGTAAATGTTATATCAATATGTGATAATATATTATTTTATATATTTTTCCCCGCTGGAGCAAATTGGACCATGCTTCATAGAATTTTATTTTCACCTTAATGCATTCTATTCTTTAAGGTAAAAAGTCCTTACAATATAGTCCCCCACCCCCCCCCCCCCCCCCCCCCCCCCAAGTCCCCTAGATACTTACCGGGCTCCTCTTTAGATCCAGAGCTGTACCTGAGAGCAGCATTGCTGCTCACTCTCTCTTTACAAGCACAGAGGTAGCAGAGGGAACCATTGGTTCCTGCTACTATCAACCAAATCCCGTGAGGAGGGAGCAGAGGTGGGGCCGAGCCGTACTATGTGAGTCTATGGGCACACAGAATCTGGCTCAGGACCAAGCTCACAAGTCTCCCCCCATAGTAAGTGCTTGCTATGGGGGCAGACACAGTAGAGAAGGAGTCAAGAGCTCCGTCAGAGGACCCCAGAGAAGGAGGTTTTGGGTCTCGCTGTACAATACCTTTGCATTGAGCAGGTGATTGTAACATGTTTATTATTTTAATTAAAAACCATTTTGCCTTTAATAAAGCTTTAATTAGAAAAATTATTTATGTAGGTGAGCAAATGAAATTTAAATAGAAAGCTAGTATTCTTCATGCAGAAACATATTTGCTGCATGCACAGAGCTAAAATTAAATGGATATGTGAAACCAAGGTAGGAAAATAAGCACAATGCTGCATTTTTTCTCCTATATTTTTAGAGGACCATTTCTTTCAGCGTGCTGTACAACAGACACATATTTTTTCTTCTTTCATTCTGGGAGTTATGCGAGCAACAAATGCATATCTCAGAGAGAATAATAGTAGAATAGTAGTCCTACTCCATTCCCCATCCTTCAGCTGTCTCTCCTGTTTGTTTTCAAGAATCTTACAGAAAAAGGATGGAGGACAACACATCCACATGAATTTAGCCTAAATCTGACCACAGAAAAGCAGATATGTTACTGAAAGTGATAGGTGACAAGTTGTGTGCCTGTCCTCAATTCAAATCCTCTCCCGGAATCTGCCAACATGAGGTTGTGGCACATGAATAGTTAAATGCCCTTTCTACCTAAATACACATAACTTCTAGAATGTTGTAAAACCTATGTGTATGATAATGAGAGCTCTCCAGGCTCAGTCTCACATATGATATTTAGGTATTCTTCCAGCACTTGGCCTGATCCTTGCCTGAACACTATAAGTGATGTTTGTATCTATCACATCCCTTGCACCTATCAGGCCATCACCCAAATTTGCGCCAATCACTGTTCACCTATCATAGAGGACAGGAGGTGATGATAATGTACGGTATATCAGGGTTCCTATTTTGTTAAAGAGCATATGCAACAAATAGTACCATTTACAGTTCTGAAGTGTAAAAAACTCATGTTTATTAACATAGCAAAGCATACACACACTTTTCCTCTTTTTAGTCAAGCTTGAAAGCAGCTGTTCACTTGATATTATCAATACAATAACATAGCATTGTTAAAAGTTGACACATGAGGGACTACAAGTGAGTTGCTTCAAAGCGTTTGTATTGCTATCTACCAAGGCCTGAGATTTTCCCAGCACTGACACCGTGCAGCTAGCTTGGTGACTTGACTTTCCACTGCTGCTGTTAAGCAATACATCCTGGTCAACTCTCTGCCCTTGCCTGTGATTGGGCAGTGAAAGAGTAGCAATAGACTGATTAGGGCATCCCTGTTCTCTCTCTTAATGTCATGTTCATGTCAGTAAATGTGAATGTAGGGTATCTGGTTGCCCCCCAAGTTTTAAGTTCTCACAGTCTGAGTGCTGTTGCAGAGAGATAAATTGCAAGACACTGTTACCAAGTCAAATTCAAGTATTTATGTTGAATTTAGAAAATAAAAACGTGGATTACTTTGCGATAAGTACACAGCTGCATTCACTTGTGTTTTTATTGTCTTCCTGGAGTGCAGTTTCAATTTACAAATATATCACTTTTCCTCTTTGGTAGAGCCATAAAGATGAATTTTATAATACACCATATTAGAAATCTCATCCATATCAAGCTGGGAGCTATTTGCTCATACAGCCAGATCTACAGTGCGAGCACAATATTACCTTATGGTCAGTAATGGTCATATCAAACTGATCCACAATATGTGCTGTTTGGACCAAGTTACAGTCTGACAATTGGCTTTGGAATAGATATGCAACGTGTCCTACGTACACTATCAACGCATAACTCAAATCGCTTTTAATATATTTCTGTACTTGTACTAAATATACATCAATTTTAACACCAAAGACTTTTTGACAGCTGATAATTTTTTTTTCTAAAAAGGTCAAAGTTATAAATGTATTTATACATGAAGATTTGCTTTTTTTTTTAATCAGTGCACAATTTGAGGTGGTAAAACTCACCATACATCAGAGCGATTGGTGAAGATCCCATCAACAAGACTTTCCAAAGCCATCCATCGGACAGGCAGAAGTCCTTCTCCCTTCTTTTTGTAATAGTCACTTTTATATACATCTCTAGCAAGTCCAAAATCCCCAATTTTCACTGTTCTTGTTGGGTTGTTGTATTCTTTCACAGAAACCAAGCAATTGCGGACAGCCAAGTCTCTAACAAACAGTCAAAATCTATAATGAGCATAATGATCCAAAATGAAGCGTTGGCAAAGATATGTGAATGCATTCAGATAGGAATGTACATTATACTGTAGCTAATTAATGTAATGTAGGTAGGACAAAAGCTATCCTGGCCCGGGAGTGTTAATGTCAATGACAATTAAAAAGATCTTCTGTTCCTTTGACACACCAACCTGATTCATCATTCATCCAGATATGTATGTGCTGACTCTGAGTAACAATATTCTTTAAGTCTCAGGAAAAAAAGCTTTGCAGTTTTTCAGACAAGAGAACTCCCTTGTCTGTAAGGACATATGCAGGTATGGTACTATGGTCTATATAGGTTACTAGAGTTTTTTGTACAAGTTTTACATCAGCAGGACATAAACGTTGTAAATAATGTACGAAAAATCTGTTAAAAATGTTTGTCCTCTGTTAGAAGACTGACATCTCTGGGCATGTAGAAGAACTGGTTTCTGGATCTTCTTCATGTAAACGTTTGTAGTTTATACATTCTCTGGAAAAATTATCAGATGGAGAAAAGTGATGATACAGATTACCTGAAAATGTTGTGTTTTTGGTGGTATAGAGACAACCAATCAAAATAACATGAATAGCTGATTTATTTCAGAGGGCATATATTGATATTCAGACTCCACATGACATTACAGTTATTAGATCAAACTGTGTTGTATTTTACATGACATTCATAAAATGCAGAGTGCATTCTGGAGCCTACCATTTTCTACTGAGTGCTCTTGTAGCAGCATTGAAGAGAACACTCCAGGACAAAAGGAAAGCCCTTTGAGAGGTCAAGTTTTTTGTCTCCTCTAGGCACATTTCTTTAATGTTCATTAGAATGATTGGGGGTTTACTTACTTCACAGTCCCATGGTAAGAGGACACAGTGTTCTTAAACACTATGAAACTCTTCATAATAAGGACCCCAAAGGCGCTATTGGAGGAGGAGTGCACTCAAAAAAGAATTATCTAAACTTGAAACCAAATGGATTTATAATTTAAAGGCATTTTCCTCATATGGTCTCAATGCAGATTGGGATGTCAACACATTTATTAACAATGATTGACATCCCAACTTTTCTTTATTTTTTTGATCTGGTACTCTGGTACTTCTCCACCTTGATTTTAATAAATGTTTTAGTAATTTTGGATTTATTATATTCTTATATTGGTTGTACAAATTTATTTTATAATACAATATGCAAATATTATTTTAATTTTATTTTTATTTTATCATATGTTATTAATTGTTGTCATCATGTGTACGGTGATTAATATGGGAATCTGTATAAATCATTAGATACCTTCATTGGGCCTATATACTATATGAATTGATCATTTTATATCAGTAATATGTGGTTGCCTTCTTGATTTGTGACCACTAGAGGAAGTAGTACATGCTGATAATGTTGTAATAGAGTGAGGCTTTGTTTTGGTTCTTATTGCCCGTCGCCCATGAAAGATATATTATTATTTTTTTGTCAGCATTTTGACTATAAGCATGGTTTCATTTATTCACAAGTATATTTGAATATTGCCAGTTGGGATTATAAATTTCTGTGCCCACAAGGAGGACATATATTTCTCAGAAATAATTAATTTGATCTGTTACTTTCTTCACAAATTGTGCAGCAGAGTGATGGTCTGAAGTACTGAATACCAGCTAAGCACACTAAGCATACAAATGGTGTGGCATATGAACATCTTCTAACTGGCCTCTGCTCTCAAGCTGCATATTTCTCTAAAGTATTCCTTGAGCACAACAGAATCATCTATGTACAGAAGTCTATTTTGTTTGGGGCACTAGGTCACTCCCCTGGAAAAGCAAACAAGAGTGTTGATATCCTAAAACTGGAGAATGAAAAAGCTGATGCAGATGTTCATGGTAGACAATCAGCTTCCAACTTCAGCTTGTTCAATTAAGCTTTGACAAAAAAACCTGGAAGCTGATTGGTTTCTGTGCTGAGCTGCACCAAATTTTGCACTCTACAGTTTTAGTCGCAATAATCCAGTACATATATAAGCTGACATTTATGAGCCCATGTTAAAGTCGGTATATATGATTTTGTTCTTAGCTATGTTCATGTGTAAGGCCCATGAACAGGGGGTGCCTTCCTGGTGCTTGCTGGGCAGCATGCCCTGTCAGACATCAATATAGAGTCAAGGGTATTTAAGGATTGGTGGCTGGAGATGAGTTATTGTTCAGCTTCAGAAAGGAGTTGAGGGCAAACTTCACTTACACAAAGCCCATATGGAAAGCAAATATGTGAGTACATAGAGTACTGGGCTCTGGTTACACCCCAGGTAATTTAGGACCTTGGGTACTTGTGTTGGATAACTTGGGAGTCAAAACATAATTAATGTGATGTTGCTTTGAGGTATTGGGGTTGGAGCTCAACCTGTGAGAATTGGTAAGACCTGTGCCCAGCTGGCTGATCTCCAACTGCTGTGAACTGAAGCCAGGTGTTCTGTACCTCAATGGATTGACTGCTAAGCAGAAAGTAACCCTGTGTTACGTGTTACACACAGCTGTCTTTGTATGTACAGTTTCACAAATATTGTGTAGAACTGTAAAATGTTATTTTGCACATTTTCCTATTTAGCTTCAGATAATGACAACCATTTTGCTACTGCTCTGTTTTCTTACCTAGAAAAATGTATTAAAGTATTTAAATAGTACCTGTGTACAAAATGTAATCTCTCCAAATATGCACAACCTCTGGAAATGTCAAGTGATATGTCAAGAAGATCCATGGAAGAAAGTAGCGGGTCTTCATACTAGAAGAATTGAAAGAAGAACAGTGAAAGCTACCATCCTTTCATTTAACAGACTAATGTTCAAACAGTACTCTTATGATGGCATTTTATGTATGATTTATGGTTTGGGCTCTTCACATAGCAAGAGGCAGCATAGGAAAAGGTTTCCTTTTTCTAGCTTGTCATCACCAAGCTTCAGGCATCTTAATAGCATTTAAACTACTTTTAGTGTAGTTCCATGGAAGTCCAAATTAAACTGCATTACGTTGACAAGACTGGAATATAGCTAATATAAATATTACACTTTTAATTAATATATATTTAATATTATTGTAAAGATAGAGTCTCATCTGATACCACAAAAAATATTTCTACTTAAAATAGACCTAAACTTTATCACTAAAATCTCATCTAAGCTTTAACCTGTTAATGTTCAAAAGTTGATGTCAAAATGTTAAATATGCAGTTTTCTCGTATTGGAGATAATACCAATATCAATGGTACCCCCCATTACACAGGCTGAACATAAAGTTGCAGGTTATGCTGATGACTTACTGTTTTTCATTACCCAGCCTATTACATCCCTTCCCAACTTACTGTTTGAATTCAGGGAATATGGCATTCTTTCGAATTTTAAAATCAACTGGCAAAAATCAGAAGCCATGAATCTCATTATGCCTCTCTTAACATGCACCGCACTCCAAGCCCACTTTCCTTTAAAGTAGAACCCACTTAAATATTTAGGAATTTCCTTACTCCTAAGACTGAGGATATTTTTGCGCAAACATTCCTCCATTTTTAGCCCAAGTCAAGAGAGACATTGCTAAGTGGACAACGAAGCTCCTGTCCTCGTTTGGAAGAATTAGCGTGCTCAAGATGATCGTACTGCTCCAAATCCTCTATCCCTTCCAGACCTTGCCGATATCTATACTAGGAGCTTTACTCAAACAGCTAAGAAGTGAAGTGCTCTTCCCTCACTCCCCTTTTTTTTTTTTTCTTCCTCTGCTTCGGCTCTTTTTTACCTCCTTACTTTTCCTTTCTTTCTCTCTTTTAGTCTCTTTCTGCTGATACTGAAAAAGTTATATGGGATGTAAGCTTGCCATGGGCTCTTTGGCGAAGGGAGCTATACAGCTACTGTTTTGATGGACTTTATATCTTTTCGTCAATCTGTAGTGATTTTTCTGGTGACTTTTATTTCTGTAATTGTATCATGCTCCTTGCCCATGTTCTTTTTAGGAGCCTGTAGGCCCCGATAATCCCTGTATGATTCAAAAACGAATAAATTAAAAATTGAAAAAAAAAACATGCAGCTTTCTGGCAATGCTGGGTCTCATTTAGGCATCCCTTGTTGTAGAGTGACAATGCACTTTTCCTGTTTTCCATTTGTGCTTCTGCATTCACACCATCAGATTAGCCTCTAGTGGAGGCTACAGGCCACCGTGCCAAAACAAATTGCATATGCAATGTTCACTGTTGTAGCTCCCAGGAAGCCGGTCCTAGGCAATGATGTGTAACTAATGTAGGAGTGGTAGGAGAGAGTGCATGTAGGGAGGAAGTTGCTGAAAGAGGCTGCAAAAAATTAGCAGCACTGAGATGCAAAAAAGGATGAAAAACACAGTGAACAGTATTTTAATACAAGAAAAAAACATGACAACTATTTAGGATACATCATAATACATATGATACACATCAGATACATAATATCATGTATAATGTATGATACATCATCATCCAGTTAGGGTTTAGAAAGTTAAAACTGAACTGTAGGCAAAAATATTTTTTTTAGCTATTATCACTTTAAAAATAAATAAACAGTACAGTATAGTCAGTGCTGCACGTGCAGCTTCTCCATTCCCAAAGCGTCTTGCCTTCTTTTTGGTTAATGCAAATCATTCTGTGATTGGTGGAGGGGAAATTGTGACTTTCAACCACATAAGGATAGCATACATAGGCATATTTTAGATACATATTTCTTTGCAACACATGGACAAAACACATAAACTTACTATAGTATTTGGTCGTGCTCCTCTTAAGTATGATAGTAAATCTCCACCATCCATTAATTCCAGGATAATGTACTGAGGCTCATTAAAAAGGCAGACTCCAAGTAGCTTCAAAATATTAGGATGATGGAACTGACTGAACAAAAAATCAGAGACTGTTATGTTGTTATCATGATGCTTTATATTCTTCTTAACTAAAAGAATGTAATTTAAAACATATCCTTTGAGTAAATATTTCCTCTAGGTGTTTCAACATACTGTACATTACCTGCGCTTATTTAATTGCCATACTAAATAAACCTAATAATTTTACATTGGATAATGAAATAATGTACTATAGACATACAGTAAGTAGAAAACCATTGCTACCCTCCTTCTGACAATGCTTCTGAATCAATGGCTGAGCCTCCTGGTCTGCATGCTTGTTCCTGATTATTATTTTAGAAATACTGAACACATTGCATTTGTTACTAATCAGAAGAGGTTACTAATGACCATGCACATATTTCTTCAGTGTACATTTCCTTTATGCTTTTTCGTTAAACTGAATTAATTACATAGATTGTTGTTTCCTACTTAACTGTTCAATGAATTGATTCCATACTGATCCTTTAAATTTAGATTGTAAAGTAATATCTCCAGGTTATATTGGCCAGTTCTGCATAAGTACATGGAGAATCCTGCTGTTAATTGCATTACATTGCAACATTGGGGAGGTCCTACCAATAATATATGAAGTAGTTCCAACAGAGAAAAATTGTACTTGTAGTCTTGTCACAATACTGGATTTTGTCAGTAATTAGAGAATAGTTTCCTTTTGTACATTCAAACTAAATACCAACAATGCATTTGCATTTCTCAATAAAATATCATTTAAAAGGATTAAGACTTTTTAACATGGATTTATGTTGCACCTTTGCCATATCTTGACTGTCATTTTCTTCCCCCACTTGGATAGTTAGTACACAACTATATTTGTTGCCATGTTATTAGATTTACAATGGACAATTTAAATTACATTATATTTAAAGTGCAGCGATGATATAGGAGTTTACCTCATCAAATGTGCCTCTTTCAAAAATTCCACCTTCTCATTATCAGTTGCATCGCTCTTCAGAGTCTATTCAACACAACAGTAATAGAAGATGTGGTAACCATCAAAATTAAGGCATTTCCACAACTTATAAAGTTTGGCTATTCCACATTTATTCAATCACTATTTTGGACCCTTAGCTTTATACCATGGTGCAAGTATTTTAAAAAGACATATTTAAAAATAAATGTTATTAAAGTGGTTGTAAAGGCTGAAGGCAGTAAACTCTTATCTCCCCAAGAGGCACTAAGACATGTACAACTTCTGGACTTGAGGGAGTGCTTGGGGGTTTTACCCCAATTGCATAATGTTCAAAGCATTATAAAGGAGACTCTTCTATTAGTCTCTTAGTACATAGCAAATGGGTGTTGGTAAATGGCAAGTAAATGCATAGGGAAGGATAATAATTGCTCCAGGAGCCCTTTGCGGCCTATGTCTGTCACTGGCAGCAGTAGCAGAACCCTTCGTCAGCTACCTCCCCTGTACTATTACTGGTCCAATAAGAAGCAGAAAAGCACAGTGTCCATCATTACCCAGCTCATAGAATGGACTACTTTTTTTGTGCTCCATTCTCATAGAATTGGTATCTACATGGCATTAGTATCCACTTGTGGCTTTTTTGCTACGGTGATATAATATGATGCATAGTGCCCTAGTGACATTTTTATTTTTTTAACCAAAATAAAAATTGGAAAAGAGAAATTCTATTGGCAAATACTGTAGGTGACATTTACAGATATCTACCACCTGTTAATTGGTTGATCAAGACTGGGTGTCAGTCTGTAAAGCATGTCTTTTTTTTTTAAAGAAAGCCTGTTTCTAAATTGCCCCAGATATCTTTGGTTTATTACAGAGTCTATGTTAGTTTGCATCTCCTAGATTGTAAGCTCGAAAGAGCTCGAACCCCTCATGTATTGTATTGTTTCTGTCTTGTCTCATGTTCTGTCCCCCTTGCTATTGTACAGTGCTGAGCAAACCCTTTGGCGCTATATAAATACTGTATAATAATAATAATATGCAGAGTTATTTATTTAAATGTATCATATATGCTTGCATCATGGTGTTAAACTTGGAATTTAGGGGGGTTTGTGATACAAGAGGTGATTTTGGAGGGGAGCATTTGTGGTAGGAGGGGAAACATTGGGTGGGGGAAGATATGTTTTAGGAAGGTTGATTTGAGGGGGAGGATTTGTTCTAGTAGGGATGATGGGGGGATATGTGCTAAGTGGGAGTTGGGGGGGGAATTTGTGCTGAAAGAGAGGAAGGTTGACTTGTGCTGGAAGGGAAGATGAGGGCAGATTTGTGCTGGGAGAGGGAATTCTAGGGGTGGTGGGGGTAAGGTTTGTTCTGTGGGGGAGAGGATTTCTGCTGGAGTGATTTGTGGGGTGTGCAAGGAAGGGTAATTTAGGGGGATATGGGCTAGGAGGGGGGATTTGGGGGGATGATTTATGCAAGTAGAGATGATTGAGGGGGATTTGTGCTCAGAGTGAAAATTTGAGGAGTAGAGGATTTGTCCTAAGAGGGGGTAATTTGGTGAAGGAGAGGATTTGAGCTAGGAGGGGGGTGGAGGGGCATAGATTTATGCAGGGTTGGGGATTGCAATGAGGGGGTGGAATTTGTACTGGGAAGAGGGGGAATTTTTATTTTGGAGAATTTGGTTTTCAAAGGGAATTTTTGCTTAGGGGGTAAGTGTGCAGATTAGTGCTCACATTTTTGGGGGGTTGGGGGGGATTTTTTTTTCTGACAAACAATGCTCATACATCTTGGGGGGGGAAGTGTGCTGTTTGGCATCTTCACCCTGGGCGCTAGATAGCCTTGTCCCAGCACTGGTAGCATGTAAACAAAAAGAAAAAAATAATTATGAGCTGCAAATCTGCTTTAAAGGGTAGTCTGATTTCTGTGAAGCAACAAATAAAAATCTAAGCTTTTTTAAATACAAGTCTTTGCAGATTTTACAATTTCTGTTTGTAATACCTTGACTGCTACTTTGCTGGTCCCAGTCCCAGGCCCTAGAATTTCCTTAGCAGTTCCTTCATACACTTCGCCAAAGGCTCCACTTCCCAAGAAATCAGAGAGGGTTAAATTCTCTCGAGGAAAGTTAGGTAAGTTCTCCATTTCACTTTTTGTAGGCAAAGTACTGAAAAGATAGTGTCAAAACTGCTGGTTATACAAAATCAACTGTTATAATAGTCAGTAACAGGCGCAAACTTCAAAAGCTGATTTCAAGAATGAATGTTTCCATGCTCAGGAATTTCCTCAAAATCTGATTATGTTTCTGAAGTGAACATATGCTAGCCCCAAATCATCCCATATTGTTAAACAGCAAAAAGGTTTCTTCAAAGCAAATGGTAAATAAAAAGCAACAATATTTTTTTATATACAATATTGGCTATTATTCACAGCCACAGTAATAACCATTCTATCACTGCGTCTCATGTTTGATTTAATCTTTCTCTTGGCACCTGCTATATATATATATATATATATATATATATATATACACACATATACAGTGGGGATCAAAAGTTTGGGCACCCCAGTTAAAAATTTGTATTAATGTGCATAAAGAAGCCAAGGAAAGATGGAAAAATCTCCAAAAGGCATCAAATTACAGATTAGACATTCTTATAATATGTCAACAAAAGTTAGATTTTATTTCCATCATTTACACTTTCAAAATAACTGAAAACAAAAAAATGGCGTCTACAAAAGTTTGGGCACCCTGCAGAGTTAATATCTTGTACTGCCCCCTTTGGCAAGTATCACAGCTTGTAAATGCTTTTTGTAGCCAGCCAAGAGTCTTTCAATTCTTGTTTGAGGTATCTTTGCCCATTCTTCCTTACAAAAGTCTTCCAGTTCTTTGAGATTTCTGGGCTGTCTGTCACGCACTGCTCTTTCAAGGTTTTCTCTATCTATCCATAGATTTTCAATTATGTTGAGGTCAGGAGATTGTGAAGGCCATGGCAAAACCTTCAGTTTACGCCTCTTGATGTAATCCCCCGTGGATTTCAAGGTGTGTGTGTTTAGGATCATTATCCATTTGTAGAAGCCACCCTCTCTTTAACTTCAGCTTTTTCACAGATGGCATCAAGTTACCATCCAAAATTTGCTGAAATTTTATTGAATCCATTTTTCCTTCTACTCGTGAGATGTTCCCTGTGCCACTGGCTGAAACACAAAGCCTATCAAACCCCAAAGCATGATTGATCCAACCCCATGCTTAACAGTTGGACAGAGGTTCTTTTCATTAAATTCTGTGCCCCTTCTTCTTCAAACGTACCTTTGCTCATTCCAGCCAAAAAGTTCAATTTTAACCTCATCGGTCCACAGAACTTGTTTCCAAAATGCATCAGGCTTGTCTATATGTTCATTTGCAAAGTTCAAACGATGATTTTTGTGGTGAGGACGTAGAAGAGGTTTTCTTCTGATGACTCTTCCATGAAGACCATATTTGTACAAGTATCTCTTTATAGTGGAATAGTGTACCACAACTCCAGTGTCTGCCAGATCTTTCTGGAGGGATTGTGCAGTCAAACGTGGGTTTTGAATTGTTTTTCTCACAATCCTGCGAGCTGTTCTGTCTGATATTTTTCTTGGTCTTCCAGATCTTGCTTTAACTTCCACTGTTCCTGATGACAGCCATTTCTTAATTACATTCCGAACAGAGGATATTGACATCTGAAAATGCTTTGCTATCTTCTTATAGCCTTCTCCAGCTTTGTGAGCGTCAACTATTTTCAGTTTCAGTTTTCTAGACAACTGCTTAGAAGAACCCATGGTGCTGATTGCTGGGGCAAGGTCAGATGAGTCTGGGCATTTAAAACCTATAAGATTGACATCACTTGGTCTTCCCAGGTGATGATTGAGAACAACCCATGACACTGGCAGGTCTCAGATTGGCAAAGGGGGCAGTGCATGCTATAAATTCTGCAGGGTGCCCAAACTTTTGCAGACGCCATTTTTTTGTTTTCTGTTCTTTTGAAAGTGTAAATGATGGAAATAAAATCTAACTTTTGTTGACATATTATAAGAATGTCTAATCTGTAATTTGATGCCTTTTGGAGATTTTTCCATCTTTCCTTGGCTTCTTTATGCACATTAATACAAATTTTTAGCTGGGGTGCGCTCCTTGCACACTACCAGCATGGTCGCCATCAGGGATCAGTAAGCTCCTGATGCATACTTGAGATTTAGAGCTTTTAATTTATGTGACCGCTGTGACAGCCAATCACAGTGGTCACATGACCTGAATGCCTGCCTCTGTGGGCAGTTACAGTGGTGGTGGTGTGTCCAAGATGGCATCGAGAATGAACTTGTAATGCTCCCAATTCCAGCCCCGATCCTGCCTTACAGTATATATTGGTGAAGGCTGCTTGATTTCTTGCTAAACTGACTTTCCTTCCACTGCTAACCTTCTGAGCAATGACTAGAAATAGAAGGGTCTCGCCCACACGCCCGATCCTTTGAACGTCAAGGTCTTTCCTGGGCCTCACACCACCATGGGCTGTGATATGGAGATTCAGACCAAGGACATGGACCTGCCCCCTATGATTCAGCACACTTCAACTCCTTCTTACAAGTATTATTGACTGCCAGACTGCTCTAACCTCTGCCACACAACAACCCCCTGGTTTTAACGAGATTTTATCTTACAGACCATTTTTCTAACATACTATATATATTATTATGGTCCCCGTAAATATATACTTGATGCATGGTGTAGTCCTGTTGTATCCTGGTGGTATTAACGATGTACTGCTTTGTGTATACTGCATGCATGCTGGTTTATGTGGCTCAGCTGAATACGATAGAATTCTCTAGAATGCATATTGGGTGTGTCTATCTCGAATTCCAGTGTCTGTCTGTTTAAATTCAAATTCAAATACTGTTATATTTTGTACTGTGGATATATGCCAAGGAATTGTGATTTTGTAACAGAATAGTAACCTAAGTGTGTTTGGTCGTTCTCTTTACATACCCAGGTTGGTTTAGGGCCCCACGGGCCAGTGGTGCACTCCCTGTTGTGTGGATGTGTGGCCAGAAAGCCACAGCTGGGTTGCCCTGCCCTTGGTTCTTATCAGGTGGCGGGCTGTCCCCTTGGAGATGCACCCGCGGCAGATGCAAAGGTACTCTCAAAGGCCTAATCATTTCAATAAGATGATTACAGCTCTGGTCTACCCTGACCTCTCCGGCTTTATGCCAAGTAGGGGAACAGATATTAATATTAGATGCCTTTATACTCATATCTCCATGGCTGCACTGGACCGCTCTGGAGTGGTGCTAACATTGGATACCAAGGAAGTATTTGACTCTTGTTGGCTTTGGGTATGGTCCTCAATTTTATCTCCTGGTTGCAAATGCTCTATTCCCATTCCTGCGCTAGGGTTAGGACTAATGGCACTCTCTCAGTGTCCCTATCTGTGACTCAGGGCACACGTCAAGGTTGTCCCCTCTCGCCAGGACTTTTTGCTTAGCTTTGGAGTCCCTCGCTATTCTTCTTACAGCTGCTCCTGCAGTGTGAGGTATTGTAGTAGGCTCCACCAAGGAGAAACTTTCTTTATATGCCGATAACTCCTTGTTGTATCTGGCGGGTGCTATCTCCTCTCTTCGCTTGGCATTGGATATTATTGATCGTTTTGGCCAGTTTTTGGCACAGGCACCGCTCCAATGGGTTGATGACTTTACTTTCCTGGGGATCTGGGTAGGGGGGTCAATGGCTAATTAACTGGAATAGAATATCTCTCCTTTGGTCAATCAATTTGCACGTAAATGTGGTCACTGGTGAACCCTTTCCCTAACCCCAGTTGGTTGGGTTAATCTGCTTCCACAGCACCGGCATCTCAACTGTGGGTACCAGGCTGTGACAGCTTGTAACATCACAGCCTGGTGCCCACTGTAGTGGAGGGGAGAGGAGGCAAATAAGCCAAGCTTCCGTTTTTGAGTGGAACTCCACTTTAATAAAACGTTTTTGTAAAAAAAAAATTACAGTGCCATCCTCCATATACTGTACATAAAATAGAAGGGACAATGTAAACTAAACAGTGTATGTTTAGTATCACTCTAAAAGGTTACTACTGCCATTACATAAATATATACTGTACATGATCTCCTGTTATATTCAACACACTGCTATACATACACTATTTTCCATGCATCACAGACCCTTAAGAGTATGTTTATGAATGTGTCTCTGAGTTATTTTCAAAACAAATGGCTTGGAATGGCTTCACACTGCTCTGGTGTGGTCCTGCTGAACTGTAGGCAAAGTGCAAATTACTCATAGGTTTTGTGAGGGTTAGTTGCGCATTTCCAAAGACTTGATGTCTCGCAGTTTTGGTACAGTTTCAGAAAGTGCACCAAAGATGCAGCATGCAGGAGTTTTGTTGCGCTTTCTGAAACCACAACAAAACTTCAGGACCTCATAGGAGGCTATGGGAAAGCACAGCTTACCCACACAAAAACCAAGGGTTATTATTATTATTATTATTATACAGTATTTATAAAGCGCCAATAGTTCGCTCAGCGCTGTACATTACAAAGGGAGACAGAACATGTGACAGAACAATACCAATACAATGCAAAACATGAGGGGATCAAGGGCCCTGCTCTTTCGAGCTTACAATCTAGGAGGGAGGGGGTGGTGGCACAGGAGGAGATAGCTGTGGGGGGGATAGAGTGGAGGAGATAGCTGTAGGATAGAGTGGTAGGAAGAGTGGAGGAGGGAGGCAAGTTAGCAGGGGGTGGGGTAGGCTTCCCTGAAGAGATGGGTTTTCAGGGTGCGCCTAAAGGAGAGGAGAGTAGGTGATAATCTGATGGGTTGGGGCAGGGAGTTCCAGAGGATGGGTGACACCCTGGAGAAGTCCTGGAGGCGGGCATGGGAGGAGGAGACCAGGGAACTAGAGAGAAGGAGGTCCTGTGAGGAGCGGAGTGTGCGTGCTGGGCGGTACTTGGATATTAGGTCAGTGATGTAGTTCGGGGCAGTATGGTGGACAGCTTTGTACGTCAGCGTTAGGATTTTGAATTTGATCCGTTGCGCAATCGGAAGCCAGTGGAGGGATTGGCAGAGGGGGGTGGCGGAGACAGAGCGGTTGGAAAGGTGAATGAGTCTGGCAGCC